GTAGTAAAAAGATTTTGAAAATTATATAAAAAAAGAAAAGTTTCTTTAAATATGATAAAAATCTTAAGCAAAAAAAATTATAACATTTAAAGATCTTGTTTGGGCATAATATGCTGACAAAACCATGCTAATTCCAAATAAAAGTATTCAAATATTTTCTAAATCGCCTAAACTACACCGAGAGTAAACTTATAATCAAAGTTTATAATGCTGCAGGCCTTCTCGTAAGAGGTGTGCGATCGCACGCCTTATATGACCACGCATTAAGTTCTTTGTTTTAACAACTTGACCATGGCTCTTTGCAAGTTTTGATAATTAGCGCGTTTAAAAAATGCGTTAAAAAATAAATAAATGCGATTTTTAAATTAACTGATTCCAATTACAATAAAACTCCCACAAAATTTCCTGAGTACTTTAATGCAACTTAATTAAAGGCAATCATCAAAAAAAAAATTTAGATTAGAGTTTAAGGCAAAATGAGTACAGAAGCCATCAAAAAATAATTACAAACCATTTTATCATGGAAATATAATTTCTAATTAAGAAATTATTTACTAAAAAAAAAGGAATTACAATAATCTTGAAATAATTGCATCTAGCAACTATTTTTTATCCCAAGGTGTGACATATCCTTTTTTTTTTAATGAACGTTGACTTGCATATCTTTATTTATTGACGAAAGTAACATAAGGATTTATATTAATACGTTTTTTAGGTAAAATGAACATTATAGTTTAACAATTTGATCTGTTCTGATCATTTATTTGCAATTTTCCATAATTATAAGCTCTTTCTTGGTCGGAATTCCAATTTTTATTTTTTAAAAACCTTTTTTTTACACATTTGCAAAGTGCGCGCAAATTAATGATAAATGCACAATAAAAAAACTTTTAAAAGTGCAAAAGTTTTAATATGCAAACAAACATTATTTCACTTTATGGAAAATAAGAAAGTTTTAAAAGAAGTTGAATTTTATTTATAATGAATACATTTGCTTTAAACTTTTAATGTAATTGCTAAAAACATAAAAGAAACCATCGTTAAACGTTACGATCGCTTTTCTCAATAAAAGAAAGCAATCGAAATGTTTGAGCATGGTTTCTTTTGAAGTTTTTTCAAAAGCATTCATTTTAAGTAAAATTATGTATGCTTTTGTGAGCGCATGCAAAAACCATGTTAAAACATAATTACTTTTTTCTATAGCGTATTTAGTTATTTTACTTAAAAGTGACGCTATCGAAAAAAGTACGTTTTGGCATTAATTTAAGTCTGTGAAATTAATTGTTTTTCATATTAAATATGTGTCTTTTATAATAAATAAAAACTAATGATCGCAAAGTTATTTTAAAAAAATTAAAAAAACGTGATGTTTGTTTTCCTGTCTGTCTTTTAAGAAATGCGCGCAAATTTGTTGATTTGTCGCACCCTGTATCCTATTAATTTTTTAATAAAATTTTAAACTTGCACCACAAAATTTTATTAAATTTTATGGTACTTTTAAACAGCCTAAGTTACTTACGTTTTTAAACATCAATTTCTAAAAAAATAAATAAAAAAATCTGTTGAGAGGGGGGGGGGACTCTTTCCCTCACAATGGATTCACCCTTGTATAAGCCTAATTATTTATGGGAAGGAATGATAAAGATTATTAGAGCTGTGATAATTTTTTTTTTTTACTTTCGTTTACAATTAAGTTTACATTAATTAATGTTTTGATTTTTTTTTCTGGTTTTTCCTTTATTTATTTTATCATTCTTTGAATATTTTATTTTTTTAGTTTAATTTTTGTATTATATATTATTTTAAGGATTTTATTCTCTTTTCAGTTTATGGATTTAAGATTTTAATTTACTTTGTTTTTTTTAACGCATTTTTTAAACGCGCTAATTATCAAAACTTGCAAAGAGCCATGGTCAAGTTATTAAAACAAAGAACTTTATGTGTGGTCATATAAGCCGTGCGATCGCACGCCTCTTACGAGAAGGCCTGATGCTGACTTTTGCTGTTATTGGTTGCACTTGTAATGCAAAACCAGGATCTCACATATCCTTTCACAAATTTTCATATCTGATACTGTCAACTGTATTGTTTAGTGTATTCTTGTACTTTTTTTTCATAACTTTAACAGGTTCTTATTGGTATGGAGTTGCTGACATTTTGAAAGTTTCTTTATCAAAAATTAAATGCAAAATATAATGATATTTCCTTTTTATCCATATCTAATTTAGCAAATTTAGCAATTTAAATTAAATCAGCGAAATCAAAAATTTTTAATAATAAAAAAACTCAAAAGCTCATCAAATATCTCTAATTAATACTGTCAGTTAATGAAAGTAATTGTTAATACTTTTTTTGACGGGGAAACAAAAAATAAAAATCTGCAATGTCTTCTTCTGGCAGATTTTCTGCTTAACTTGAGCTGTCTAATATCTCCAAAATAATGTACGACACAAGCAATAAAAAGGGTTTGATTTCGAATGATAAGACCAACCCTTATACTGGTGGAAGTTGTTGCTGCAATGAGAACCTCCCTAATTATTTAACTTTCTATCTTCAAACTTTCTGGTTTAAACTGATGCTTACTTTTTGAGATTTATTCATGAAAAGTATCATTTTTAATTGGGACCAAAATTTGACTCAACAATTAATCATGTAAAAACGAAATAATTATATTTGTGTAAAACAAATTAAAATTTGATACAACCTAACTGTAATTTAGCTCCTAAATTTTTTAGGTACAATAAGTTTCTCATTAAAGAATTTTTTTTTTTTGTTTTTTTTTGTTTTTAAATTTTATTTAGAAATAAAAAAGTATTTCTTTAAGAGTAAAAAAGTATTTCTTTAAGAGTAAAAAAGTAGAAATCATATTTCAATTGGTTAAATCTTTAAAAAAAAAAAATTAGGCAACTAATACATTTGATGGTCTAAGAAAACCAAATCCTTTTGTAGGGCAAAAATATTAAGGGACTTTGATTCATTGTGCTTCAACTTGTTCTCAAAACCCTTTGCACTAATGTCAAACAACAACTCTATCATATTGTAAAAATCATTTTTGTGGCTGTTGGAAGTTTTCTTTTTGATCTGAAAGCTCTAACTGTTGCATAAACATTAAAAGATTTAAACTTTTCCACTATGCTCCTTTCAGAAATCAGGTATAAGTAATACCAAAGAACACTGCAATTAGATGGTAGTTGGTTTGTAGCTAGATAGCTTAAAGGAGAGTTAAGCAGGTAAACACAAGCGCTATAGCTAATTTCTTTTTCCTCTACTTAATTTTGAGATTTTGTACGGATACAAAGATAATAAAAAGTGTTCGCTTGTTTAAAAAAAAATACAAAATAAATCAATGATTGCAATGTGAATAAAATGCAAACCACAACAATTCATACTGTAGTTAAACTGTTTAAAAATTAATTATGAATGACCACAAATATTTTATAAACATATTGATTTTTTAAAATTTATTTTGAAAACTTGCTTTAAAGAAAGAAATAAAAACTGTAAACTTCAAAGTAAAGCTTAAATTTACATGTAGCACTTCCCAAGAATCTGAAATTCTTTTTCACTTTTTTTTTTAATTTCCCAATAACTTAAGAAATTCTTTTTGTAGACTCTCTAAGTTTAGTAAAACTTTCAGTAACTTTCATAACTAATTAGTGGTTGCTTGCAGCCTTGTTTGAAGCAAAGATTTTTTTTTTTAAAAAAAAAAAAAAAAAAAAAAAAACAGAAAATGCACTGCAGTTTTTAAGCAAACATCATTTAAATAAACTTTTCATTTTTAAAAAGTACCTAAAAAATTGTTCATTATGCAAAAATTATTTGAAAGTAATTTAAAAAAACTTAATTCACAGTATTTAGTGTATTTTTTTTTAACTTTTTTTTTTTAGTAGTATTTTTAAAATAACGCTTTTTGTAGTAGTATTTTTACCATAACCTCCTATTGTTAAGTTTTCATAACTCATAAATTGATTAAATTCTCCAAGCATTGTTCTCGTATTACCAAAAAAAGCCTACTCTTGTCTTGAACTACTTTTCAAAACATTTATCAGTAACAATAATCATCTAGTAATAGCCTACAAAGTCTATGTGTGACCTATTTTAGAGTTTTGTACTCCAGTGTGGAGCCCTTATCTTCTAAAAGATACTCATTGTATCAAAAATGTTCAGAGATATTTCAGCAGAATTACCTGTAAAAGATGCCATATTTCTTATTCTGATTACGTATCAAGACTAATTCTTCTAAATCTCGATTCTCTTGAATACTGTATAATTAAATTTGATCTTGTTATGGTATACAAAATTGTAGACAATCTTGTTGAATTGACCTTTTTCCAATCTCTTTACCTTTTCTAACTCTTACTACAATACTAGATGTCACGCTAAAAAACTTATATCTTACAATATATATACAAACGATTGTCATAAATTCTTCTTCAACAAAAGAACTGCAAAATTAATGAATTCCTTACCAGCTAACATTGTGGATTCTCCTTATTTATCGATGTTTAAAAGAAAGTTAAATAACTATGATTTACAATGCAATTGCGTACTCTATTAATTTGTATTGTAATTATCTCTGTCTATTTTTATATTAGTGGTGTTACGTAAGCGTGATCTTGTTATGACCTGTCTCACCTTTTTGCATTTAATTTAAATGCAAATAAACATTATTATTATTATTATTATAAAATCTGCAATTTTAAATAACTTTTGAAAATTCTTTAAAAGGCAAATATACCAACTTCTCAATAGTTACTTTACAAATAGCAATTTACTATAATCCATATAAAAATATTGTGCACAACTTTATACCAATCACAATCTCAAACAAGAAATTATATAATACTGAAATCTTAAATAAATAATTTTGTAATTATACTAAAAATATTTTTAAGAATTAAAGAAAATTATAAGTTAACTATAAGTCAGCTGAAAAAAGTAAAAAAATTTTGATTATGTAAATTAATAATTTTATATTATTTTACAATAATTAAATAAACCTTTTCACGAATTAAATCCTTCCAGACCCATGCTTGCACCTCAGATGATCCTCCACTTATCAAATATCTGTCAATTGTAACAAAGCAATAAATATAGCTTTCATGAGCTTGAAAACAATGCATTGGTATTTTACATTTGAGTGACGCAGAAGCTGATAAAGCATCTGTTATATTAAAAACCGCTATTTTGCCATAGTTATTACCAGTAACTAAGTATTTTCCACATGGTGAAAATTGTTGAGCAAACACTGTAGAATACAACTCTTTTCGAGTAAGAGACATAAGTAAATCTAAAAATAAAAAAAATGTAAGAGTAAAAAAAGGTGACATTTATTTTCTAACAATTTCAATTTTATATATATATATATATATAAATTTATATATATATATATATATATATATATATATAAATTTATATATATATATATATATATATAT